CTCTACAGGAATTAAAACATACATATAGTATTAAACCTATAGAGACAGCTATGACTCTAAGGAGGGTAGGAGAAAAGCGGGCCGGCGTGTTGCGAACATATGTAGCGAGAAAAAATAAAGAGGGGTGGAGCATGGTGTGGAAGTTTCGGAAAGAATACTACCCACCCAGGACAGACTGGAAGAAAGTTACAGCATGTCAACAGAAAGAGAGTGAGGATGTGTCAGATTTCATAGAGAGGATTGTTACGCTGTGGCTTGAATACTCAGGTTTAGCAAACGAAGAGCTTAATGAAGTTAAGTCCATAGTGATAAAACAGATTAATCTGAATGGGCTTAAGTCAGATAATAGCTAAGATGCCACAGTTGTGCTTTCCTGATATCACAGAGGATGACAATATGAAGTTTGAGCGATTCAGTAGAGAAGCGAGGGAAGTGGAGTGTATGCTAAAGTACGTGCGTTTCAGATGGGGAGTGCCCCCACGGGTTGGCAGGGCAAGGGGGGCCAAATCAAGCAGGATAAGTTACCAAATAAATCGATGTGCAATTACTGTAAAAAAACAGACGTTTCTGGAGAAATCATAAGAAATGGGCTTTATTTCACAAAGAACCAGTCAGAAGCTGAAAAGAGAGCTTTACATGAAATAATACATTTAAAAGAGGAAGCCTCCTTCCTAAGCTCATCTAAGAAATTAAATACAAAATAACTAATACAGACACACAGCCCATTCTCTCCAAATCACTCCAGAATATATCCTAGGGCTATTACCGAGATGGAACGTTTCTTTGCTATAGCGTTCCATTGGTATGGCACTGGCAAATTAGAAAGGGAAGTCATTAACATGGCTGCCTCATTGAAAAAATTAGCTACAGCTCAAGGAAGAACATGTGTTGTGATCAGAAAAGAATTTTGTACTTACATTCCGGATAATTCCATTTATTTATACATTAATACTCTTGTTTTGTCTTGGATGCTCAATGTCTGTCATTACTTATGACAGACATACACTTTTAAACGTGAGGACAGACTCCTCAGGGTCATCAAACAACTTTTTTCACGTACCGGACCCCACCTGCAGGATTGGACAAAGATGCAGCGAACAACAAGAGGTGGGCAGACGCCAGGGGAGACGAGGCGGCGTACTAGCGCGACTATGGAGGCGTCCGCACAGACCACCACTGACGTCTATTTTGTTAGCTAATGTTCAGTCAGTGGACAATAAGATAGACGAGCTACATTGTCGGATCAACGCGGAATAGGAGCTGGACAGCATGGACAGAAACCACAAAGCAACCGGCAAACACAAAGGAGGAGGCGTTTGCTTCCTGGTCAACAGCAAATGGTGCACCGACGTGGAGGTAATCTCTAAATCCTGCTCACTGGATCTAGAACACCTGACCATAAAATGTCAACCCCTTTATTTGCCAAAGGAGTTTTCCACCACCATTATTACGGCCGTTTACATTCAACCTCAAGCCTTCGTGGAAGCATCCAACTCCACAAGATTATCAGTGTGGAAGACCAAGTCAAAAGGTCAGTGACTATGCGCGGGAAAGGTTTTCTATTCGCACCTAAGACCACTGTCTTGGGTGCAAACTAAAGCCTGTGATTCCTCACACCCATTCAACCAGAGAAAAATGAAACAGAGTGTAGGATGCCAAATGGCATCTTCCTGTCCTGTTTGTTTGCCTTCTGACACTGCCCCTTTCCCTGTATGTTCTTTTGATATGTTAAAGTCTTGCCTACTTTAAATGTATAAAAAGGAAAGTATAACTTCAGTACAGTGAGCATGTCTTGAGTGCTAGGGGAAACCCTTTCTCTGTGATATGCTCCCCTTCAGCTGATTGAATTAAAGATCTCTGTTGACAATCTCCTAACCTGAGTGAAGACTGAGTTTTCTTCGACATCAGCAAGCACGAAAACTCCCACCCAGAAGCTGTCTCAATTGTAGTCGGGGACTTCAACCACTGGAATCTGAGGAAAGTACTGCAAAAATACATTCAGCATGTCACTGTACCGACAAGAGGAGGCAATATTTTGGACAACTGCTACATAATAAAAAGAGCATACAAAGCGCTTCCCAAACCGTGTTTCGGTAAGTCGGACCACATCGCTTTCCTGTTGCTTCCTGGGTACAAACAGAAGCTGAAGACCTCCCCCGTTACGAACAGGTCAGTGTGTTGTTGGTCTGAGGAGGTGGAAAGCAGGTTAATAGACTGCTTTGAGAGTACAGACTGGGACGCATTCAAAGCTCCCGACACAGACGTAAACGAGTATACGGACGCGGTCACCAGCTATATTAAATACTGCACTGACATTTGTGTACCTGAAAAGAAAATTAGGATGGTTTCCCAATCAGAAACCGTGGTTCAACAACGACATTTGCAATAAAATAAAAGATAGATCCACCGCGTTCAAATCGGGGGACAAAGAGCTGTACAGGGAATCACGGTATGCATTAGAGGAAGCCATAAAACGCGCCAAACGGAGCTACAGAGTGCGGCTTGAAACGCAGTGCACTGACACCCAGAAGCTGTGGCAGGGATTACAGTCAATCACAGGCTACAAGGGCCAGGAGGCTACAAGGGCAGCCAGGAGATCAACACGGACGAGCTGAAGTGTGCAGGGCGATTTTGTTCTGAAACTCTCAGAGCAGGATGTGCGGAAGACTCCGAGCAGGGTGAAAATCCGTAAGCCTGCAAGGCTTGATGGGATACCACCTCGCGTCCTGAGGACATGTATAGCCCAGCTGGCCACAGTGTTACGGACATCTTTAACTCCTCCCTGTCACAGTCCATTGTCCCCACCTGCTTAAAAAAAAACACTATTGTTCCACTCCCCAAAATGGCAAAAGTGACGTCCCTGAACAATTTCCGCCCAGTAGCACTAACATCTGTGGTGATGAAATGCCTGGAGAAACTGGTGTTGTCTCATATCAACTCCTCCATCAAGCAGTCCCTGGACCCCTTGCAATTCGCCTACCAACACAACAGATCAGTTGATGATGCTGTCTCTCTAGCTCTACATACAGCCTTGGAACACCTGGACACTAAGAACTCGTATGTGAGAATGCTGTTTGTGGACTACAGTTCAGCATTCAATTCCATCATACCCAGTCAACTGGTGACAAAGCTCATGGGATTAGGTCTGTGCAACTCTATCTGCAACTGGCTGCTGGACTTTCTAATCAAGAGACCACAGGTGGTGCAGATAGGTAATAAAACACCACTCACCCTGAGCACTGGAACCCCACAAGGCTGCTGTCTGAGTCCATGGTTGTACTCCCTGTTCACTCACGACTGCCCAGCAAGACACACCAACAACCGCATCATTAAGTTGGCGGATGACACCACTAGAATAGTCCTGATCAGCGATGACGAGTCCACTTAAAGGGATGAAGTCGTACAGCTGCTTAGGTGGTGTCATAGGAATAACCTCGACTTGAACATAAATAAAACAAAAGAGCAAATAGAGGACTTTCGGAGACACAGGCCACACACTCACAGCCCACTCAGTATTGATGGAACGGAAGTGGAAACAGTCACCAGTTTTAGGTTTTTGGGAATTCACATTTCTAAAGATCTAACCTGGACTGTAAACACTGACTCTATGTTGAAGAAAGCTCAGCAGCGCCTGATTTCTAGAGGTGCCTCGAGCGATGGGGGATGCCAGTACCTGTGTTGGTGAACTTCTACCGCTGCACCATTGAGAGTATCCTCTCCAACGGGATCAACATGTGGTACAGCAACATCTCTTCTCCAGAAAGAAAGGCACTGCAGAGAACGGTCAATATGGCCCAGAAGATCATAGGCTGTGGTTCACCGAGATTAAACAGCTCTATGAGGACCGCTGCCGTGGTAGAATTCTGGCCATCACAGAGGACAGTCACCACCCCGGGCATGAGCTCTTCACCCCACTGCCCTCAGGCAAGAGATACAAGAGCATACAGACAGTTACCACCAGATTCCTTAATAGCTTCTATCCACAAGCAGTGCGATTGGCGAACACATTTAGCCATGCCCCTCGGACTACACCTATACCATCTATCTCATTATGATTTCTTATTTATTGCACATCTCCAGTCATTGTCTACATTCAAACTGCTTACTTGTTTACTTGTACACTGCCTACTGTTTGTTTGTATATTATCTTGATGCACTGTCTGCACTTTATGTTTTTACACTTGTTTTAACAATTGAGAGACTTTCTGTAAGAATTCCATTGTACCACTACATGTACCTGTTACATATGGCAATAAAGTTCAAATTCAAGAGTGTATGTGGGAGTGTATATTGTATCGTTTGTTTCACTGTATAAAAGAGCACTATAAGCGTTGTCTTTTAAGTCTTGTGTCCAAATGCAAGACTTCCATACGCATATGAAATAAAGACGACTTTCAATACACAAACTCTCAGCTGATGCCTTTTGTTAGGCACAACAAAGCTAAAAATCTTCAGTAACCTCAACTGCAATCCCTGTAAACTCTCAAACTGGTAGGTGCACAATGTCAAAAGATAAATGGTCAGTATAGAGAATAAAAGAGCTGAGGAGCAGTTTTAAATGGGATTACCTGAAACACAAGAAAACTTGCATTGTCTATACCAGTACCATGAAATGATGTCCTTTACAATCTGCTATTTTTTTTAATAGGTCCTCAATACCATCGCCATTCCATCATCTCCGCCACACAATAGTATTCACAGGCCTAGAGCTGCACAGTGCACTGAGGAAACACGTCTGGGTGCTGTCCAGGAGACACTGTCTTACCCAGCCATGCCAGCTGCCAGTGGTGTGGATCAAAGCCACAGCAGACATGACCACAGCAACCAGCAGTCCTTCCTCTTTTCCCCTGTACCTCTGCCCTGTGTACAAGGACTTGACCACTGCAGAGGTCAGTCTCAAGGACAGGGATATAATCACTTACATCCCTCTGGTAGCCAAACCTTCCCCCCACCCTCTGCAAGATGAATTAGAATTATAATCAGGCAACTGACCACAGACCTTTAAATAACAGCATTTTTTACTGAAATAATCTAGGCTAAATAATTGTTGTTAATATAAAACTTGGAATACAATGAAATTTAAAGAACAATTCTGGAAAAGTCTTGTAGCTAACATCACAATTATAGAAGTCTCTTTGCTCACACATTTACACAGGTATTTCATCGATTACATATGTTACTATTTATGAATATCCCTTTTCCACATTTCACAATTAAATATATCACACATACACATTAAACTGTTTTTTCATATCTAAAATAAATAACTTTGAAAATACCTGTAAACTGTAGTCACCTTCCAATAAAGTATTATGGTTTCATTAGTAATCCATCAATTGAAAAGATACATTTATTACTGAAGATAACTGTCTGTTACAGTTCAACGTCTCTCTGTGCTGTGAGTATCACTAAGACATATAACAAGAATCCTGTGCCTTAGAGGCTACGTGTCCACTGTACTTAACTGGGGGTACCCATTTCGAGCCACTTTGAGGCCCATTTGGTTTCCAAACCACACTGTCAATTTTCTTTCTTCATCTCTTCTTGTACATGCAGGGCTTTAGTTCCAGACCTGCTGTATGGCTTTTCCCTTCAGATTCCTTTGTCTTGATTAACTCAAATGTGTAGAAATAGCAATTACTAGTGTCCTAAAAAAGAGAACACATCAGGTTATAGTTAAAGGCAGAGCAACTACAAAATGTACAATTGTGCGACTTAAGCTAAGACCCCTGTAATACAGAACTCTGTATTGTTAATCACATTGGATTTCAGTAAAATCTAAATAAAATTAAAAAAATAAATACAGTATGTATTCAATAATCAAATTGATTAATTATTTACAAACAGTACAGCACTGATCACAGAATTTCTGTTTCACATCAGTTTTCTTGGTTTTATCACACACCGGTTAGAATGAAGACTGTATAGACACCCTTTTGCAATCCTGAAACCATTGTCTATCTGCCATTATTCACAATTTAGATCTCATAATGTACACTATAGAGTTCAGCATCAGTTGGACAAATTGGTGTAGCTCTTAACTGCAAACTCACAGGCACTGTATTGTATGGCAGACCAAGGGTACCGTTTCTGACTCCTGAACACATCAACTGTTTAATCAACAGCATGCAGCCACTTTTGATGAATCCCTGTGACAGCTGGGTAGCTCTCAACCAATCAGTATTATCAGAGTGCAGCCAGAACCCTGTAGCTCAGTGTAAATACATTGACAGATGATTGATTCAGAATCCCTATCACTGGACATGCATAAGCAATAGATAAATGTAGCTGTTGTTCTACATGAACATTAGTAATTACACTAATTAATTAACACATTAGTCAAGAGGATGAGTGTTCCCCTTTTGTGCTTTTGTTTCTTTGTCTCTGTTGGTTCATTAGGATTCTTTGGGTATACTTAAATATCCAAGAAAAGATGTTGTGTAACAGACTAATAGAAATACTATCAACCACTTAATGCCAACAGTTAATCAACAGCTGGCATCCAAGAAGGGATTCATCTCATTTATTGTAACTGATTAATATATGTTTGCGATTACTGTTGTTTGTTTTAGTTGCTTAAAGTTACCTTAATTAACTTAAACCCAGTGAATTCGTATTTACATTATAATATAAAGGAGGGTATTTATGGCTTTTAACCATACATGCTAATACTGTAGTACATTATGCAGTAGTATAGTATACATAATGTGGACAATGTAGTGTATTAAATAATCTTTTATTTCAGCTACCACTAAAGTTGTGATTTTCAAAAACCTTTTCTCAAATCACTACCCAGATCTTAGAATTTTTCCTTACCTTTGTGGCTAACTTGAACCCAAGAGTAGACAACGCACTTAGGAAGCTGCGAACATTCTCGAACCTGCTGGCTACCTCAGCGATCATTAGGATACCACTGCACAAAGAAGGGTGATATGAAGTTAATGACAAAACCATGTTAGGCTGCCCACAGAAAACTAAGTTCTTGCAAAGGCAGAAGAACTCTTTTGGCAGGTATTCTTAAACATTATACATAAGAGCTTCAGAGCCTTGTTTCAGAGCCTTTCAGTTGATAACTCTTATTTTTAATTGAATTGCCAATTCATCAATCAATGAAGTACTGACATGTTCCAAAACCTACCACACGAAAAGTTCACATTGTAATAGGACAGCTTTATCAGACCTAAAGTTTAAAAGAATACATTTTCATTTTCTTTGTACTGAAATTAATTCATGGGGAGACTTTGATCATAAATATTTAACATCACTACTCCATATTCCTGAGAAATATAATTTGTGAAGGAAATTAATCTGTAAAACACTTTTCTCCACCAGTTAACATAACCAGTTTGGGGCATAAATTTAAAAAGTATTTGTAACAATGCCTTCCCAAAGTATTCAGACCCTTTATACGTTTTCTAATGTTGCTGGATTAAAAATGATACTTAAAATATTTTTCCAATCAGTATTTTTATTGCCAACTCACATGCTCAAACATGAAAGACAAAATTAGTTATTTGCAAATATCTTTAAAAAAAGAGAAAAACTGAAATATGCTGCTTGCATTAGAGCCACCTTTTGCCCCAATAACAGCTTTAAGTCTTTCATCGGAGGTGTCTACTAGCTACCAACTCTGGGTAGTGATGTTTGCTCTGTTTCTCAAGCTGATTCAAGTTTCTGGGAGAATGCTTGTGGACCTGTTTTTTTAGCAGACTGCAACAAGTTCGCTTGCATTATTTCCATGTTCTTTCCTCCACTTCTTTTTCTTTCAATTTTAAAAAGATTTCCACTCCCTGCTAATGAGAAGCATCCCCACAGGATGCTCTGTCTTGGTCTCATCTTACTACAAAACCCTTTCTTAAATCTAATCTGGATACTCTTGCGATATGTGGCAAATTCCAGAGAGGTTTTGCAATAGTTTTTTTTTTAATGACAGCTCCTTTCTTGCACCCTCTGATACAGGCCAGAGCTAATGATTTGATTTGATAAGGTCAGGTAAGGTAAGATTTTATTGTCTCCTGAGGGATTTTTTTTATGAACACCCAGCACTCTTGTACATTTTAATAGAATGCAAACAAAAAAAAAGAAGAAAAGAAAAACACTGTACATGTACAGTATAACACATAACATGTAACATGTAACATTTATCATACATCACAAAATATATCGCACTCAAGGGGGTGGTAAGAGTCAAAATTGTGTTTATTCTTGACATTTGCACTGACAGCTTTAATGGATAGTGGAACAAAGGAATGTTTGTATCTGTACATTTGGGAACCCTAAAATGTTTGCCAGAAGTAAGAAGTTGATATTCAGAGTCGAGGATGTGGGAAAGATCTGATATAATTTTTCCTGCCTGTTTGACTATGGAGTTTTCAAAGATTGTCTGCAGGGAGGGATGCTGTTTCACTCCCATGACCTTCAAAGCCGTCTGGATGAGGCAGGTAATTTCCGACTTTAATTGAACCGATAGATTACCAAACCACACTCTAATACCATATCCGATAATGCTCTCGATTACAGCATGGTAAAAGAGTAGCATTACTTTCTGTCGAACCCCAAACACTCAGTCTTCCCAGGAAATACAAGCGCTGCTGAACTTTGGAGCAAACACTCTCAACATGACTAGTCCAACTAAGTACTTATATGAATCGACCTGAGTGATGCAGTTGACTGAAGCACCTTTACTTCACTCTCAGCCACTGTACTCTTTAGGTCTTTAAAAGTAACTGTTGGGCTCTCAGGGGCTGAGAGTCTCCTTGTTTGGATGCTGAGTTTTGATGAACGGCTTTTTCTAGGCAGTGTCTGGGTGATGTGATGCCATTCCACTTCCTGATTGAGCCAGCAGTGCATACTGGGATATCCAAACAGCCTTTTTATGCCTTTTCCTAATCTATGCATTTTTTTACTTTAATTCCAACTTCCTTAGATGCCCTTTAGCCTTCATTTTTGTACTTTTCCTTCAGATTCACTGCTTGACAAATGATCCAAAACTAGACTGGGGTGACAGTCACTTCAAAATTGCACAGGCAGAAGCCAATGGTAACGCAATTATATCCTCATTAGTTTCTTCATTAGTTTCTTGTATAAAAGAGCTATTTCGAAAACTTTTAAAGGGTCTGAATACTTCTGCAAGGCACTGCATATCTAAGGAACAAGTAATAGGTGTATTCCATGCTGAAAAGAGAAGAAAGAAAACAACATTTCGGCCGTGGAGCCTTCTTCACACACCTAAAGAAGGCTCCACGGCCGAAACGTTGTGTTTTCTTTCTTCTCTTTTCAGCATGGAATACACCTATTACTTGTTCCTTTGCAGCCTACGCGTACTGATGCAGCTACCCACCTGAACTGTATATCTAATGCTACCTACTTTCTGGCAAATAGGAATTTTCTTGATGAATTAAGGAATTTTCAGATTCTTAGTTTCAGTTTGAGATTTTAATTGCAAATTCAGAATCCAAAAATGCAGAGTTTGAAAATTGGTATTTACGTGTGTTACAGCTTTCGGTGACTAAGAAGTGTCTCTTGAATTTTAGATACAGTTTGTAACACTTGGCGGAGTAAACACTTCTAACTTCAAAGTATATATTTTGTAGAGTCAGAATTTTCTTCTATCAGAATCTGGTCACACAAAAAGTCTTGTGTAGCTGAGCAGACTAGGTTGACCCTTCAAGGGTGTTCCAGCGGTTGTGATGTGCCACGCTGTACTCTGCCCTCTCCTAGCTCTGCTCTACTAGAGGGCAAATGAGTATCCTACCTTTTCACCAGCACACGGTTAGCCTCCACCACAAAATCACCAATATTTGTCCCCATGAGGGATAGACAGAATATTGCAATGTCCACCGACCCATCTGGGAGAGGGACCTGGAAATATAAGTATAGAGAAAAGACCTGTGAGAGGAAATGATTCACTGAGACATAAACATGGTGACAGGTGAGGAATCTAATATATTGCATTACTCTGATTATATTTGCTTGAATAAATGTGAATAAGAAGTCTGAAGGATTTAGTTTAAGCATACTTATTGGCTGAATGGTGAGAAAAGCAGAGGGAGAGGCATGAACATACATGGGCCATGTCACAGACGGTAACAAGATCACTTATGGGCAACAGGTCAAAGGAATGCACTTTGTTTTTCACGCTGTGTGCAATCTTACAATCGCCACAGCCGAAATCAGCAACAACCATTGAAGAGGGCCTGTAAGACGAAGCACAAAGCCATGTTAAAAGCAAACAGTCTCTTTTAATGAATGCACATCATAAGATAATAAAAACAAAAGGAAGGTTTCAAATGAGAAGAGACCGCTTGGTCTGTGAAGCTTTTTTGGCTTCTAGTAGTTTATGAATTCAAGGATCTCATTCAGCTGTTTCACTTTTGTGTTTAACTTCAACAAAATGTCTGGTCACTTTGTTTAAGACTCCTCACAACTATGTGTAACGAACTGCTTCCTGACATCTCTCTTAAATTATCTTGATCATTTTAACTTATGTCTCAGGTCTTAAGTTAAGCACTGGTCAGAAATAAAAAGTTGTTAAGAATTTTAAATATAGTAAACCCCTGGTTTAATGGATTTATAGGGGGGAAGGGTTTCCTTTGTTGAATGTTCATTAAATAAAATTGCATTTTTTCAGCCTCCAAACACACTATTACATGAGAAAAATATATACTATATATTTTTTTTTTACTTATTTGTTTTTCATTGCACAACAAAGTAAATTAAAATTGTTTTTCTATTGTTTTATTACATACAATCTCTTAACTTCATGTGTCGCACACAAAACAAACACTCAGTGTAAGGAACTGACCTACCTCTATAGCACACTACTGATATTCCTGAATTTTGAACTGATGTTTATTTAATTATGCCTTATTTTATTATTTGTAATAAACATAATAACAGTATTTCCCTGTTAATGCGGGAAAGTCCAGTATATCTTATTTTACAGACAAGATTCCTATTATGTCCAATAAATTCAAAGAATAAATTCAACTGTTAAAACCAAGGCCTTACTGTATTTCTATCAGATCTCCTATGTTAAAGACTAAATAAACTCAGTTTCTTTTACCTGACTGTGTAAAACCATCTGAGCCAGGAATTTAACTTTTTTTCTTTGAATTAATTACAGAGCATCAATGTCTTTTTTAATGTGGCTTCTACAACTGTATAGAAAACAAATTGAAGTATTTAAATAAATTGTCTTACGTCGATTCCTCAAGCTCAGTTCTTATTTTGTACTTTGCAAATACGACAAATTGCCCAAATACACCAGAATCAAGATCATTTACTTGTAACACAGAGCACAGTGGACCTAGTGCTGGATTTTCTGGATAATTTAGATAAGTGTTCAATATGTATGAAGAAAGATATAAGATGTGAAGAAGGGGTTAACTGATTCCTTTCTGCACAAAGATTTCTTGTGACACAAGACATTCCATGCTTTGAGTCTTGGCAGAGATGGGGTTAACTGATAAGAATTCCAGATGCAAGCTAGAGAACCCTCAACTAAGAAAACCTAAAACTGACCATTAAAAGTGGTCAAAGTCTGGGAAATGTCCAAACACTTTGACCTCCCCCCTTTACCATGGTAACCAATTGCATCACAAACGGCTGAAATTTCCTATATAAACTGGAAGTTTAGTACCTATACAATACTTTGGTCTTATTGTTCCTTGCACGCAAGAAACTCAGTTGTTTAAACTTCATCTCGGGATACAGAACTTATTTGTCTGTTACAACGTGTGGAAGCAAGCAAAATTTTATGTGCACTAAAAACATGAAAACAGGACTGCAGCATTCTATAATTTCAAAGATTCCAAAAATGTAACCAAGTATTTCCATTAAAAAATAAATGCCAATCACAGACATAATGCTTTCAAACACGACAAAAAATTGGCAACCAAGTAAATGACCATGTGGTCAACGTATTTCCCCTTACACTTGCTCTTTAAAAGGGTCTTCTAATGACAAACCTTTAATCTTGCAAATAAAATTTTCCCTTAATTTCAGATATAGTCTTTTATTTTTGTGTACTTAAAAAAGGATCCAGAAATCCACGTAGTTTTACTGTCCCAGAAATACTACAATGATAGCTTATCACTGGAAAAGTATTATAGCAGCAGTGAACTGCAATATAAGGATATTTTCAACCCACACTCCACACTGCACCCTGAACAGAGAACCTTGACTTCTCTGAAAGGTTCCCTTACTTCACTTACTTGTTGCGGATATAGCTGATGATGGAATCAACTGGATTGTTTGGCCATCGCTCCACTTGTGCTTTGAATCCCTGATGATAGATGTTGAAGGCTTGACGATCCTGCTGGAACATTCTGTAGGCCTCCTGACTGGTGGAGGTGTACAGTTGCTCATTAATGTAACGGAAACGTGCTGATTCCAGCCGTTGTTCCATGCGAGCTCGCAAGGCAGATGAGCGATCCAGTGCAGGGACGGGCGAGTCAGCCACTTTCTCCTCCTTTTGGCTCACACTGGACCCTGTTTTCTTAGATTCCAGCACCTTAAGTATCTTCTGCAGTTTGGCTTGCTGTTGTTTTGGATCTTTTTTCCTTTTCCTTGCTGAAATGGCCCACAAACCACTGGTTTCTATTTCTTCTCCATCCGGCTGAGATTTCAAACCTGATCCTTCAACACTTCTGAATGCAACTTTTTTGGCTGCTGAACCCTTGGGTTCTTTTTTGCCTGGACCTTCTCCCCTCTTATTCTGCTCTTGCCTTTGGCTGACCTGGAGTGAAGAATGTGTTGTCTTGCTTTCCACAGTAGAGCGTTCCAGACTTCCTGATCCGTCTTTTCTAACTACCAAGGCAGTGCTCACTTGTCCATTTTGCCGGTATTTGTTTTTACATTTTCTTTTGTTCTTCATCTTATTCTTCCACTGCTTCCTGCTGACCTTGGACTGGCCCTCATCCTTCTTCAGCTGCTCTGTTTCGCACTCGCCCTGCCTTATCATTTCTGCTTCTTTATTGCTGCCCTGCCTGTCTCGCTGAGCTCTCAGCTCTCCTCCCTTCTGAGGCCCTGGGAATAAATGTGCTTGTTAAAGAACAAAAAAGGTAACCTAACATCTTTACAATCTCAGGAGACACTTGTACAACACTGTTCTCACTTGGAAATCTTGAGAGAATCCTCCTGAAATATTGAACCTCACAAGGAATCATCTTACTGTAATTCTGCTGACTTCTAACTATGTCTGGAGTAACTCAAGTAATAACATTTCATACGTCTTGTCTAAGCCATGCATTTCTTGCCTAGTGAATCAGTTCCTTTTGTATACCTGATGTATAGATATTCTGCATTATGCAGTATATGCAATAAATCACTTCAGTCACTGGGCTGAAGTGGGCTAACTCTGTCTGGAAAAAAAAGAATTGGAAACCTTTCAATTAAAAAATATGATGAATGACTCACAAGCTTTTCTCTTTTTCTCCACTGGACCCTCATCCTCTTCATTATCCTTGACCTCTGTCTTGGCAGTCTTATAGTTCTTCCGGACTCTTTTCTTCTTGGCAGCTTGTGGAGCCTTGTCTGTTTCACCGTCACTGCTACCTTCTTTACAGGGGCTGTTCCAGTCTGGGACTGAGCCTAGAGTCTGCAGTGTCCGCAAGAGGCTCTTCTTATTCCCCACTCCCTAAGTACACAAAGACAGGGGTATACACAGCTCTCATCATCTCACTTAACAGACCAATTCTAACAGTAGACCAGATATCACAACTCTAAATACATGAACATTTAATTGCTAATTGCGACCTCTTGTACAAGTTTCCTTGTCGATTTTCTGCAAAATGCAATAACAAATTGCCTGAAATTATCAATACAAAACTGGCTGATCTGAGGCTCTAGAGCTTCCTCTCACATGTACCCATTCTTATGTTTTATTAAGATCACTTTATTGCCAACATACAATTTCTTTTATTAGGAATTTGTCTTTTCGTATACCCCAACTTGCTCTCCATGAGACATACAGACAGAGACAGAAGCTTGGGGTCAGAGCACAGGGTCAGACATTTATACAGTGGCCCTGGAGCAGTTGGAGTTAAGGGCCTTGCTCAGGGGCCCAATGGAGCAGGATTCCTCTGCTGGCCGTGTATACGAACCGGCAACCTTCCAGCCACAGGCACAGATCCTTAGTCACAGAGCCACTGTACCGCTCAATTCAAATTAGTTTAGTTGCTGAAAAGTTCCTCTGTTGCTTTAGAAGTAATTCTCTCATCATACACATCCTTTTCTGGATAGAACCTATTTGTTTCCTGGATATAACCTATCTGTTTCAGAACTGTGAAAATGTTAGGGAATGAAAAACTAGAGAAACTTAATGTGATCTTACTGTGACACTCTTGAAATCTGAGAGTTGCCTATGATGGAAGACAGCTTGTGTCAGCACCAGCGCAGTGGGTTCATCATTCCACTCCTCTTCTGCAAACATTCTGACTCTCAGAATTGCCTCCCTGCAGCGTTTCTCCTAAAAATCAGAACATGCAAGCAGTTACTTCTCTCAAAACCTCAATGTTATTTTAGAGTTAAATAAACTTTTATTTTTAAATTGGAAGAAAAGATGGATAGATGTGTAGGAAAATTGATGATTCCAACAAATGTTGAGTTTCTCTCTCTCTCTTTTACCCTTAAAGAAAAACTGATAAATTCCAGTTGCTGAAAGTAGTAGTTAAAGAAGGGGTTGATGGTACTCTGTTATTCAGGGCTTTGCTTTCATGTTCAGTCCACACTTTCAGTAAAACAAGCTCTATGACCAGAGTTTGATTTTGAGAGCCCACTTGTTAGATTCACAAAACTGTCCAATAGATGGGAACAATTCTGGTCTCTCCCGACCATGGTTGCAATATTCAATTTCCAAAGCCATTTTGGACTCTGTTCAGTATCTGTGAACCTGGTGCTAATATCCAATGACAAATGACACAAAACAGTGTTCATTAAAATTTGAATTCAAGTGTGAAATAAAAAAAACAGTGGTCTTCGAAATGATAAACCACAACCAAAATGATAGCTCTTGACCCTGGTAAAAAGCTTAGTGGCATTATAGAGCAAAAACTACAAGGCTGAAGTTGGCTTTTTATTCTCGTTTTCCTTCCACCTTAAATGCTGCCGCTGTGATGTTGTGTCGCCTTTCACCTGTAGATAGCTCTCTACAGTCTTTTTTAAATGTTCCAATCCGGATGGATTACTGTACATATCCTCAGTAAAGGGGAATATGTAAGTAAATAAAGACTGTCCAAATTGCATTTTTGTATGAAACATATTTCAGAAATTCAAAAACCAATTTTCAAAACTCACAATAACGCAAACTGGCATGTTAGACAACGAGTAAATAAGACAAATGCAAAATGTGAATTCACTGGGACGTTCTGCGCTTTCGGCGTAATTGCTATGGCCCTCCCTCCTCGTTACAAAATCGTTTCACAATTCTGACACCAAGGTGTGAGAGACAATATAGCAGACTATCAAAATCATGACGTACAAGATATTTTACTGTACTGTTTTTTTTAAATATGAACCTCTAAACATGGCATGAGGGAATACATTGGGAAAAGCTGTTCTGTACTGTAGTACTGACCGAAGAGCGCCATCTGCAGGCGAAAGGCGATATAACATCACAGCAGCTGCATTTAAGGTGGAATGAAAAACGCGAAAAAGAAGCCAACTTCAGCCTCGTGCAAAACTGCTATTACAATCTCTGAGTATACAGGAATGTTGCATATTAACAAAACGGAATGGTATCTAAAAACACTAAAGCTAGTCACTGTAAAATGTTAAAACAATTCTTCAAGAATTATGCCAATTATTTAAAAGAAAATGCATATGGAACTAGCAACAATTTTGCCGAGTAATCTGTAATTGACAAAGCGAACAAGACGTACTTTCTGTACATTACTCAACGAGCACAAATCCGGAATATTGAATTAGGCGCTTCACTCACCTCAGTGAGCGATAGTGTTGACAAGTGGACACAATCCCTATGAGTAAATACACGTGTGTCCACGTTCTACGATTAAATAGTACAGCAAAACCAGAAGCGTGCAGCGGGAGTGAACCGGAAGTGTTGGAACACTGCGTCAACATGCGTAGGCTGCAAAGGAACAAGTAATAGGTTTATTCCATGCTGAAAAATAAGAAAGAAAACCCGAAGAATGCTCCACAGCCAAAACGTTGTGTTTTCTTTCTTCATGTTTGAAAACTGCCGACTTTCAAAGTTAAAGTCCTATACTCACTCGGAAGCAAACAAAGAAGCTACCATAGACATCCTGTTCAAGCTTTTTGAGTTTAACCTATGAAACACGAATGATCCGGAAGTGTATGTAAATACCTACTTTTAATAAAAATAAAAGTGAACACTTTAACCTTCAGTTAACACAGTAGCGTATGAGGAGTATAGCAGCATTAAGCGAAGTGACAAGCAGCTGAAATACCTGCTTTGTTATTTCTTCGTGGTTAACTGTAATTCCTTGAACATTCCGCCAAAATTTGAGGGGGTCCTTTTTTAATTTTAAATCGCCAACACTAATCTCCAAGTTTGACAAATCTAAGATTATTAGAAGTTTTTAATAATTTTACAGCACCTTTCTTACATTTTATACTACTGTAAGAATTGTCATTGCTATTTTTTTGTTCTGTTCAATGAAAAAGGCTTTAAGATGTAAGCTTTTAAAGGAGCTGTATCTGAAATTTTAATTAAATCAAATCCTTTATTATATTTAAATTCAATCAGTTTTTTAAACTATAACCAGGGACAAAAACATGTTTTGCACCATCAAATGTGAAACATACCATGTTAAGACAGTCGTCCAATAGCATATCACCCTTCTTCATTCAGTTTTAAGTCTTCATTATTATTGTTGGTCTGGGTGGACCACCTCTAGAAAAACTGCAGTGCAGAATTGGATGGGAAAAATGTGTGCCTCTCCAAAGGTGGATGGTATCTATTGCACAGACCCTCAGCTAATATAAAATCACCTTGTTTTTGTCAGATAAGTGTCCCTGTCAAAACTGCTGGAGTTTATAGAGCACCTCCCATTCCCAGACTGGGACCATGCAGTGATGGTGCAGGGAGTGGTCTAACTCCCCTCCTAACCAAAAACAAAATATGTGCCTCTCCAAAAAAGACCTCAAATCTATTCTACAGACCCTCAGCTAATAGTACATCACCATGGTTTTATTATGGTTATTACCTCTGACGGCCACAACCAATCTAATTTCTCCGTCTGTGTTATCAAAGACGGTTTTCTGAACTCATTCATCAGAAAGACTACCGAAACCAAACTTATCCTGCAGCTAGGATCATACCTTCCCCCTTCTCTTAACGACAGACTACTCTTTTTTAAAATTTTCTCCATTCATTGGAAGTTTCATTTCACACCTCTCTACACCTATTCTGACTTCACACCTCTTGATTGGCCTCTTTTTCTGTCCCCTGCTCCCGCCTCTCACTTCTCCTCCCTCCCAGCCTTTGTTCTCCCGCTACATTACCTTTGCTTACTGTCTTGTCTCTCTCACACCTGAAGAAGATTCCATTGCCGAAACATTGTGTTTCCTTTCTTCTTTTTCTTCAGCATGGAATAAACCTATTACTTGTTCCTTACTATTATTATTAGTATTAGTATTAGTATTAGTATTAGTATTCAAATAATTATTTATTCAAATTATTATTTGAAGTTATTATTCAAAGGTTATGAAAGGTTATTATTCAAAGATAAGTGTCTTTGCTAAACCTGCTGGGGTTTATAAGACCACTTGCTGTTCCCAGACTGGGATTGTGCAGCAATGGACAGGGAGCTGTCTCACCCCCCTCCCGACCAAACCAAAATGTGTGCCTCTCCAAAAATACCTCAGATCTATTCTACAGACCCTCAGCTAATAGTACATCACCATGGTTTTGTCTGATAAGTGTCTTTGCTAAACCTGCTGGGGTTTATAGAGCACCTCCCATTCCCAGACTGGGACCGTGCAGCACAGTATGCACAGTATGGATGCCTGCAGAAGTGATGTCGATGGTATTAATCTAGATGGTAGCTGTTATGAGAACACCCCTGAAATTAAAACACACAAGATAAAGCACCCAGACGGTACTGGGGACCCGACACTAGGTTGAGAGCACAGTGGTAAGTTTCCAAAACCAGCTATAATAACCCAGCAAACTTTGCAGAGATAATTTTATTAAAAAAAGCCCCAAATCACACTTTTCCCTTTCCCAGGAACTGCCTTTGCTGCCTTAGTGCAGCATCTCAAGGGAAGGTCCTTCAGGAAGTATACTGTACATGGGAGCATGTCTTTGCAACAAAAATCAATTAGACAAACCAATATTGTGTCATAATGTTTACTTCATGCAGGTTTAACAACTGTATTAGAAGATACATTAGAAGCTCCATAGTGTTGCTCAGAGCATGACTAAATATTTTCAATGTGGACACTATGGAAAGCTATCTCAAAAGGTGTGGGAAAGCTGTCAATGGGACTGCACAGGGCCATGAATTAAGGTGTACTTTAGTTAGGGCCAGTTAAAGTCATGTTATGATGCAAGCTAGTGAACTCATGAACTCTGTAAAAAGCAGTATAGTGGAAAGTGTCAAAGACACAATGTTGGCATGTATATCTTCAGTGTCATACTTAATTCCACGGGATTAGAAGACCTGTCCTCTCATATTTATGACACCTGCATTTTCATGGGTAGTATATGCATTAACACACTTGTCACAGAGTCTATTTCCAATCTCAAAAGTCGAGTGTCACAACAGGTGCTGTGGACTCAAATGTTGATTTTGGATGCATATAGAATTTGAATGATTCAATGTCTTCACTGTTTAAAAAAAATTACATTAAGGCAATGGCAGATATAAACACACAGGAGAACAAAGGGTCCAATGCCTATTTTGGTTCATAACATTTTTTTTTGAAAAAAAAATTCTGTCATCAATCCCCATATGGACAGACATACTAATAGGCAGATTTCAGCAATACCACAAATTTCTGATGTAAAATCAGAAATGAATGTGTGGAAAGGTTAGAAACTCTTTAAAAAGCACATACATAAAACCCTATCAAGACAATCAAACATTTTTAGTCTAAATGATAAATGCAAAATTGATGGTCATCCAAATGATTACAACAAGCCACTTACCATTAAACAGTGGTCTGGAAGTAACGATTGAGCTCTTGTCCACAAACTATTGTAATTCAGATTCCCAGAACACATTCCACTGAGAACTGCAATTGGAATTGGAAGGTGTTGGTAAATTGCGATTTACTATTAAATCAACAATATGCCATGAAGGAAAGTCTATAAACAGAGATGAACATTATTGGGCAGCACTTTCATGCATTGGACAGAAATTTAGAATTAAAGCAAATGATCAAAACCCCAGGGGGAAGAGTGAGCAGCCCTTTGTTTCTAAGAGATAAAAAGCCCTAGACAGGACAGAAAAGAAATCTTTTGACAGAAGAATTTTGTTTGGCCGTTGGACCCTGGAGAGGACAAAGACACCATGGATTCTACAGGAAGTGGCTGAGGAAGGCTTTGGCATCATCTTCATTCCCCCTACCTGACATTGGACTTGGTAGCAGGGGGGGCCATGAAGGAACTACATTGTTCATGAAGGGCAGGACTGGAAAAGTTGCCCAAGACCCACTTAAAGACAACACTGAGTTTCATCTCTTTCCATGGTGTTATGGAAGAAAGTAGATGACCGAAGCTAGTTTCAGAGAAAACTACTACTGGACCTCTCATTGGAGATATATGTTGATAACTGGATTAGGTGGGGTTTCTTTGTACTATTCTGGAAAGTTAATGTGGGGCCTACTTAGCACCCTTTGTATGTAGTTTGGGCACAAAAGAATAAGTATTGTTTTTTTAGGGGTCACCTGTCCATGACAATTAATTATTTCAATAGTCACTATTATTTTGAAGAAACAATAACAGCTGTTCTAATTGACATGATCTTTCTGTCAGTAATATTAAGAATCTATCTTTTAACAGCTATGGTTAACTACGTTTTAAACGTTTTATAAACTTTGCATACATTACAACACTCCTGAGTGTTTGAGGCTCACTGGAGATTCATTGATGTATAAAGCAAACTACTTAAAATAAAAAAATAAATATTATGTATGACATATTAAAATGAAAGCATACATAATTGACTTCTCATTTCTTAACGTCTTTGCAGTCAGGCCATTTTTTCCCTGAAAAATCAGAAGTTTATTCTGCGAATAACAGCGTTCATCCCCACCACCAGCAGGATGTTGTTACTATTTAGCTCTGAACAATACATTAAACGTTAGATAAATAATTAGGCTATAATATTGTTTATTCGTTAGCTGCTAAAAGGTCAGTTATTTAATTATGTCTTCATTAAAACATTAAATCATTTTAGCATTGTTTAGAATGGTAGTTTTTAATGTAACTGTCTTTAACTCTGAAATTCTCGGAATAACGTTTTTATTCTTAAGAAACATTTTATCTTGATGCAAAATTATTTTCAGCTGATAGGGCAAACTTTGTACACAATTAAATTAGTGTTTTGTCTTAATTTAGGTTGTGTACTGGACATCGTTCAATTGCGCATGGTCGAGCGGCGCTTTACAAGCCCACATATTTTAAAATGTATCGCTAGAAGGAAGTAACTTTTCACACTGTAGTGTTACAGTACGCCCATGTCTTTCAGGGTTTCCGGTAACACAAGTTCATATCACTTGAGGCGCCTAGTTGTGGTAGTCGTCACTGGGAAATAATATTTCCACGAGGGAATGAAAGTAGTTTAGGAGAGCGTTTCGGTGCTGTACGGAAAGAGATATGTCAGTGGGTGGCGCTGTGACGGAGAATGCAGAGCGCATTCCTCCCCCCCATGAAAGGAAGAGATTTTACAGCAAAACGAGGGTGTGGACCTCGGGGGACGTAGTTGGGTTGAGTGTAATCGTCCACATAATCTGAGCGAAAAACCCCTTTATTCAAACGTGCAGGTAAAAAAATACATGACTCTTTGTTTTGTGTTTAAGGTGGGACATTTTCTCTGTGTTTTTATAAATGTTAGAGCTGTAACTTGTTTGCGTCCGGTTCAGAAAGGGTATACGGGAGCAAAAAAAACTTAGCTTAGCCTAGTTATTTTTTCCAAGGTGTGGGATGTTCATTTTCGTTTTTTTTAACGGTGTTTCATTATAAACCGTCAAAGCATTATTACTGTTGACATTTCAGGTCAAAATGATTCTGCTGAGGTTTTAAATATTGAAAGTTTGTTTAAATGCGCACAATTTTGTTTGAATTGAAAGCCGCATGGATATTTGCTGTCGTGGACAGAAGTCACCGCAGATAACTTGCGATGAAGTTGATGTATACTTCCTACAGGATCTATAGTTTATAGAAGTGGTGTTCATTGGTGGTTAATTTGCTGTGTGAAATAAAGACGAGCGAATGAGGATGTTTTACTTTTTATGATAATTAGGTCCTAGTCTGAAATTCTAATTTCCTGGTCTCCGTCACAGTTATGTGAAAGTGGAGTAAAGCTGGTTCCGTTCCCAGTTGTTTTTCGAGAGAGGGGTCAGGGAGTCGCTACAGCCTGTTTACCCTGCCTGGGTGATGAAGTGAGAGGTTTTGTGCTCCATGTTTGACGACGGAGCACAGTTAAGTTTCAGGAGAGTTTTTCCTTTAAGGTTTTCCCAATTACCAGGGCGACATTTGAATTTAATTGTCCTCAATTAGCTTTTAAATTTGTATTCTGCTATTTAATGGCATCTGCAACTCTTAGTTCTTAAACTGTTAAGTAATCTGAATCCACAGTATGTGCGTCGTAAACGTTAGCTAAAAGCTCTTAAGGTGTGATTCAGGTGAACGGCATTGACCCCTCCCTGTTGGACCAGGTTACCTCGGCATGATATATCTGTTAGGATTTAGAGGTAAACGCACTTATTATTCATCACTGCACTTCAGGGCTGTACTGTATCGTAAGAAATTTATTAAAGAATAGAGTGCACCGTGGTTACCCAGGTTTAACAGCTGCTGCAGCATTTTCCTTTTGAAAATCTAAAATCTTATATCGCTGCCATCAACCCAAAGCATTTTGTTAAAAGTACTCAGCCTCCACCAAGGTGGAGAAGCTTAAATCCACTGAAGAAGTGAGAGTACAGATTTTGAATTAACTTTCCTGCCTTTTGAGTACATGCAGCAGGTATAGAGAAGTTATGCTCTTTATGTGTAAATGGCTTATTTGATGCTCAGGTTTGCTAACTACACAATTTATTAAGGTTTTCTTTATGGAATCTTTTCACACTAAATCTTGTCATGTGTAGAAGCAACAGTAAATCTGTTGACCTGCAATTTAGTCAGTAGTGTTTTGACTTAGAAATATATACAGATAACTGTCAAAATAAAGGCAACACCAGGGCATTGGGCTACCGTGAACAGTTGAGAACAGGGTGAGGGCTGACTCATCTGACCATATGATTTTTTTCCCTGCTCAGTGGATCACCGTCTTTTGTTCTTTGCAATGCTTTAGTTGCAGAAGTGCATTTTAGGCCCTAAAGGGGTTACGCAACACAACCCAGCCTTAGTATTCCTCTTCGAAGTTCTCAACAGACTGTACTTGACGAAACTCAGACATACTTGTCTGTTTTGCATCTCGAACCAATGCAAGGACATCACGGTCCAGGAGTATGTGCTTTCATCCACCGTTGCCACTTGTTGATGAAGCCTTTCCTTCAGACTTCCATGCCAGCATAGCCATTGTTGAGCAGTCTTCATCACTAAAACTTTTGCCAAATGAACCCCAAAAATCACCTGTCTCTTGGTCATTAAGGTCTCTTATTCTAGAATAAACATAAAATGGAGAGGTATTGACAAATGCACAGAACATGGGAAGAATTCAATTACATTACAAACGTTACAAAGTTTCAATATGTTGAAATAATTTATAGTATCCTTGTCAAAGAAGAGATTGATACATTAAAAAAAAACAAAGCAAAAATGATTTAACAGCCATAAAGAGAAAAATGTGATCCCCCTTCTTGCAGATAAATGACAAAAAAAGATGTACCTTTCAGTCTTTAAAACAACACAACTTCATAGAATCAAGGTGATAAAATCAAGACAACGCAAGGGGTAGAGCATATGTAGATGTACATTTGTTTCTTATCTTTTTACTCTCTTAAATCAAGCAGTTTGAAAACAAAGGCACAGGCTGGGAATCTCACCATGTAAGTAGCGTTTAGGCAGGATTCTGATTTAAGAGGCATTCAGTCATAATCCCACAAATGGTTGCTTCGCACCATTGGCTCCTCAGCCAAGCAGATGAGCCAAATGTCTGAACCTGCGGTCCCTCTCTTACTGAGCAGGATTACCATTGCAACAACAGTTTCCTCTTCATTTTATGGTGATATGTGGCTGTAGCAAGTTTTAGAGTTTTTTTTAACCATACCCTTCCCTTACAAGCTATCTGTAATATTTCCTGTCAGAGGTCTTGACTTTGAAAACTTGCAAATTCATCTTAGCCCACAGTACCAGTTTTCAAGGGTCAGATGCAGGAAATTAAGGATATTTCTTTTCCACAGTACTGTGCACTTCATTGATGCAAGTGTTGTTTGGGGTTTAATGCTCACACAGGTGTAAGTCACGATGCACTTTATATATTACTTACACATGGCCATTAAGCTCTGACAAACATTCGCCCATATGTTTGCAACCATTGAAAGTATTCAAGGTGGAGGTGTTTATTAATAACTATTTAATAATTCCTTGTCTTCTTTATTGTTAAAAAATAACACTTTATATTTAAACATTATACGGTGTTATTTACTTTTAAATAAAAAGATGGTACGCCAAATGAACATTGCAGATGTGCGCCTGATGTTAAAATTTGGGAAGCACAGCAGAATGGAGACTTATTCTTGCTGTGAGTGGTCAAAGTAATGTTCAGGTTTGGATTTTAATAAAAATATATCTGTGTGTGTTTAGAGCAACTTTACAAAAAGAGCTGAATTTTGAAAGAGATGCAAACAGTGAAGCAAAATTTAGGGTGACCTGTCACTATTTGTGGACTGTGCTGTTCATGTGCTGCTCCTACCATGAAGATGTGGAGGAGCAGGACTCCCAAGATGAATGGGGAAGTGGGACATGCATTCAATATTGTTTTTCAATTGAGGAAAGTCAGCAAATTCCACCAGCTTTCAGCAAGTAGCACATAATTTAGTGAATTTGTTGTTGTGGTTTGTATCTGTTGTCCAAGCGTTTTTTAGACTTGTCATGTTTGTGCTATTTTATCAAGTCTTGCTGTACAGTAATGCACTGCTGTCTGTTTCAGGTGGGCAGGTGGGAAAGCCCATTTACTGTCTTGGATCATCTTTGCGGGATACACTCCCCCCACTTTTGGATGAATGGTATCCAGCCCTCATTTGGACTGACGTTGCAGATCTGTTTTTCCCTTGAGCACCAAGTATAACCTCAGACTCCAGGTATTGTGGGTAGAGAGCAGAAGCCAGTCATGGATGACATCTTCACCCAGTGTCGAGAGGGCAATGCTGTAGCAGTACGCCTGTGGCTTGACAATACCGAGAACGACCTGAACCAAGGGTAAGTAAAGATTGTAGCTTTATCACAATGCGTTTGATATTTATCTGCAATGTGTTGTTGCCATCACTTGTGATCCCAACAAATCTGAAACATTTAACAGTTTATGCTTTGGATTGCGGTATGATGGACATTTTTTTCAAGTTGTTTTGCATTTAATTGTTTTGAGTTTCTGTTTATGAAGCATAGGAGGTGGAATGTAATGGAAATGCTTCTGCTAGTGCCTCTACATACATACACGCAACTCCTGCCATTTGCCAAGGCCATCAGTTTTAGTTAAATACATGTTAGGTACAAGGTGGTTGGTTGCAGTGATCCTGTTTTCATAGCTGTGCACTGCTATGCCCTAATGATTTATTTAATGTTTTAAATGTATTGGAGCAGTAACAGTGGTTTTTAGTAATTCTGGAAGCCAGGTCTTTCCAGATGTGGTCTAAATCACAAGGTTGTGTAGCATCACACATGCCCCAATGACCGTGGTGGCTCTTAAAAGACCTGTATGCTGACCAAATGAGAGGCAAGCAAAATGCTGTTAAACTTCCAAAGGCTCACAAGGTCAGAGGAACAGCATTGAACTGAAATGACCTGAAAATGTTACAGAAGTCTCCTAAGTTTACCCTTTTAGAGCTGCAAATAAAATTTATTTTTACTTGTAGAGAAAATCCTCTCCATGTACCAACACTTTATATAAATGTTAATCTTGTTTCAGAAATACAATTTCTAGTGCTATGGGACATTATTTTTTGTAACAATTGGCTACCTCTGCTGTAAGGAACATGCAGCCTTATGATATTCTTTCCAATTCAGTTTTATTTGTATAGTGCTGTTTACAATGGACATTATCACAAAGAAGCTTTACACATAAATGGGCCTGAACCCCCAGTGAGCAAGCCTATAAGGCGACAGTGGCAAAGAAAAACTCCCTTAGATTATAGCAGGAGGAAACCTTGAGAGGAACCTATCCTCCTCTGGGTTCATTTAAATGAACAACTATGATAGCCGTCTCTATAGGATATGTACCATTATATTATTATGATATGTTCCATGATCTGGTATATTTTAACAAATGCCATTCTTAAATTTAGAATAACATTAAATTGCCAAGGACATTTGGTTATATACTTATAAGAGACAGAAAAAGTTATAATTATGGCCTACATATTAACTTACAAATTAGATTAATCAAGTGTTCCGATACAGAGCACCCTGTAGTTCATGCTAATTAGAACAAAAAAAATGCTGTTCTACACTGTTTTTTCATTGTAGCTGAGCTCAGAGCTGGAGATGATCTCCAGATGGTACCTTATTAATTCATCGCAACTAAGTATGCAGCTACTTGAAAGTTAGTTAAAATCTGAAAGTTTGTTGTAATTAACCCCATTAGTCTAAGGGTTATTTGTCTTTGCAAGCAGTGTGTTGCCCACTTAAAGATTCACATTAACTCTGATCATATATGTCAACAGATTTTTGTTTTATAATAAGAAATACAGACAGCCATAAATCAATATCAGTTAGACAGTCAAGTATCATTGTACAGGTGTCTGTCAGTATAAAATAAGGTACACATTAATGAAATTGAGAAACACCATGTGGATCTGACTTTGTTTACAGTATTTTGCAAAACTAAATTCTGTTCCATAATAGTGTATGAGAACTGCATGGAAATATGGTTTAGCTATATTCTGGACCAAGTGCTGTTTTTTCACAGTTCATTGTGACCTAAAGACATTGGTTATCACCTTCTATTTATGAGGAAATAGGATATTTTAGAAAGAGTTAGGTAAATAACATATGATGAGTATTGTTGTGAAACTCGCAACCACAAAACAGGCCTAAACAGAAGAACAGCTGTAAAATCAGGAAGTCCACCCTTTTTGCTTTAGCTGAGGAAGTAGGAGTATATTGATGTTTATATAGAAGATCAGGATTTTTTCTTTATTAGCTCATTTGAAATGTTGCTGTTTTACTGCTTAGGGTACCTTCGTTTTTGTCTGGTGTAGTACTGAGCACAGAACTGTTGATGAGCCTGCTTAGAATTTGAGTTTATTAGTTGAAAAATTAGAACTGGATTTTTTTTCTTTTCAGATATTTTTAATACATTGAATGTTTTTTCATTTTGCTGAACTTTATATCAAAGCTCTTGACAAGCAGACAAAATGTTTATTTGCTGATGCAAGTTCAGCGTACTTTGTAAAATTTGGATTTATCACACTACTTCTTCAGTAGCACAGTGCACTACAGCTTTTTGGGTTTAGATCAGCATATCCCATCCAGTGAACACTTTGATAAGGGAGATTATTAAAACTCTCGTTGCACCTATTCAAGGTTTTCCAAGCTACAACCTATTACATAGCCATTTCCATTACCTGCATATTTCAAGCTTGTTAGTTTATTTTGCGTACATTTGTAGAACCAGATGCATAGTTATTTTTCATTATCAGTATAGTCTGTACAAAATGTTTATGCTTATAAAACCTGAAGATGTAGAACCTTAAAACCTGTAGTACCTGAACTGAAGCAGTTGTAATTTGGTTTCTTGTGCAAAATGTTTATAACGTCATGTCATTTGCCAAACTGCTTTATACCATCCAGTGTCATGGGAAACCGGAGTCTACCCAGAAAGCAGTGTGCGCAAGGCAGGGTACAATCTGGACGGGGCGCCAGTCCATCACAGGGCCATTGCAAGCCAATCATACATGGTGACAATTTGGAGGCCATGGTAAAGGCAGAGGGGGGAAATTTGGCCCGGACACTGGGATTACTCCTTACTCTTATAGAGAAATGCCCGAGTATCTTTGATGACCACTGAGAGTCAGGACCTCGGTTTAACGTCTCATCCAAAAGACGGCACCCACTACAGTATAGTGTCCCCACCACTATACTAGGGCATTAGGACCCACACAGACCACAGGGTGGGCGCTGCCCACTGGTCCCACCAACACCATTTCCAGCAGCAACCATAGCTTCCCAGGAGGTCTTTCATCCAGGTACTGACCAGGCTTAACCCTGCTTAACTTCAGTGGGTAGCTAACTGAGAGCTGCAGGGTGATATGGCTGATGGGTTATTTCTATAACATAAAATGGCAAGTTCATTGATTAAATTAATAAAAGAAAATTCATAATGTGTATTAGAATCGCAGAGATCTAGTTGTGAGGATCCCACTACCATATTGTGACAAAGCACTATAGCACTTGCTAAAGAAAGAATGGCAGTTAGAATGACATTGAAAGAGTGATAGAACAGCTTGATTATGGTTACTAGATGGGTAACTTTAACAAGTAAAAAGCAAAGCTTTTAATAGAAAGTCACTGCAGGCTTTTGAAAGATAATCCATTATAAATGGTGGTCCTCTGTATTCCGGGGGGCACTTGTCTATTCTGGTTAAAAGGCTGTATTTAGTTGTTCTAGGTATAATAAGGGTTTATTACATGTTTGATTTGTTTAATTTGTATACCATAACTGTTGTTTTAATTGCACAGATATTCATGGCCTTAACCCTGTTTCCTAGCTCTTTGGATGCTGACTGTTGTACTGCATGTGCTTTTTTTTTTTGCTCTGTATAGGAAGTGGGCCTATTGTGGTGTTCTGGGAAAGAAAAGATGACAGTTGGGACGGAACTAGAGTTCTAAGTCAAGCAATGCTGAGTCAGTAGTTAATTCTAGACTAAAGCAGCCTGGGACTAAAAAAGAAAAAGTCAGACCTGCTCTTAACTCAGTGGCAGACAGCTTTGTTTGCTGTTTTGTTGTAGTCTATAGAGGCACACTTATTGCTGAGGGAGGTGACCCTGACATTTTGAGCAGAAAAAAAATCCTTGGGTTTAATTGCCTTAATTAAAGCTGTCCTATTGGCCATTAAGAGGCTGATGGTCTGTAATCCACACATTTTCTAAACACCCGGAGATGAAAAACTTGGTAATTTATAAATTAGCTATGGCCAGTCCAACAAAGGTTTGTCTGCTTAAGACTCTAAATAACACTAGTTATAGCAGAATTGTGGATAGCACAGTGTAGTAGGTAAGACTTTGGACTGACAGGTTGCTGGTTCAAGTCTGCACTGCAGACATCCTTGTTGCATGCTTGAGTGAAGTATTTTATCCCAGTTTCTCCAGTCCACCTAGTTTTAAGAGTGGAGACCAGCGTTGTTGAGGGCATTTCCCGTGATGGACAGAATCCTCTATTATCTTCTTAACACTATAAGGGCAGCCTTGGCAGTATCAAGATTAAGCCTTGTGATGATTTTCTTACTTGAAGCCCATGGCGCCAGAGGGGCTTTGTACTGATCTCGTTGACAACTCTGCCAGCTTAGGAGATTCTGCCAAGCCCTCCACTGTGTGTTGAGATAGGGGAAAATCCCCCTGCGCCAGTGAGTGTCACCCCTTAGGAGCTTGTCCTCATAGTTTCATATTAAAGCCAAGATCTCCCTTACACTCTTCAGTGCCTTTTACTGAGCCATTCTGGCACATATACCCATCCCCCTGCCTAGTGGTAAAGCATTCTGTTTAAAAGAACTAGCTCAAAGATGGAAGAGATTCAAGACTTGCACATTTGGCATTTATAGTCTGGAGCTGAAGCCTGATCATTTATGACTCTCTGTAATGCATGATGGTACACATTGTATTTGAGAAATGAAGTGCAGCATTGACATTTCCTTTTCTTTACAAAGGTGTTATGTACTGGAATAGAAAGTGTTGAGATTAACCGTGTTTGAGAAATGCACAGAACACTGTGCAATCTGATAAAATTAAAATCTTGAATTGCAAATTAAACAGCTCCCCATTTTGAGGAAATGTTTTGCTTTCAGATTTAAGAAATCGCTGGTGTTACTGTGGAGGGAATAGCAGTTTTCCTTTTTCAGTGACCAATGTTAAGTCTGAAAGTATGGCCAGTTTTCTAGCTTGGGATTTTAAAATTTTTGAATGTTGTGAATTTAATTAATATTGAACTGTGTGGCTCAGTGGTTTATAAATATGGTTATTATATGTTGGCATAGTTGCCTGAGTGTT